CCACCGGAGTGAAGAGGAGGAGACCCGGCCCAGAGGCTGCTGTTGAATTAAGTTTTCAGGTAGAAAAATAGAGCGGGAGCAAAACTGAGTATGATTGTGCTTTATTCAAGTATTTATTACAAAGTATTAATCAAACCCATCAAAGTCATCATCCTCTGTTTCTGAATTAAACAGCTGCGCTAAATCAGACATGCCAGTTTCCCCTTCTGCGCTGTCAGAGTCACTTTCCGTGCCGGGCGGCTCCTCAGAAATAATGCCGGCTTTTGCGAAAGCTTGAACAACAGAGCCAGCAGACACGTTAGTCCATCTACAATCCATCCGCAAACATTGGCGTAACTTGCCCGGCGCTGCCTTCCACTTATCCTGAAACTGTGGTCTCCGTCGTTCATCCATCGCTCCCACGCCGCTCGCAGCCTTACTTCGAACGGCCGCTTCACACCGATGTCGAGCGGTGGAAGTTCCTTTGTCAGACCCCCGAGATAACGGCGAGCACAGCGTTTATTTTTTTTCACCATGTTTTTCACATCAGCTGTGAGATGGGCACGCATGGAGTCAGATTAACAGCGATGGTGTTGTGATGAGTGGAAAAAAAAAACACCTGGTCTCCTTACATTCAGCCACTCTTTTATCATCTCCTCAATGAGGCGGTCTCAAAAGTCGCAGTTGCAACACACATAGGGCGCACCGCACCATAGGGCGCACCGCGCATTTTGAGGGGAAAAAAAGACGTTTATGTGCGCCTTATAGTCGTGAAAATACGGTAATAAAAGGCTTCTTATCTATGGGATAACCAGTATTCGATTTCAAGGAACTGTGCTTACAGTTGCGTTGGTGGATATTCGGGACGCCGTGACGTTATTGCCTAGCCTGGGTGCCAGTCCGAACTTAGTCCCGCCCACAAGGTTTGAGTTTGGGGAAGTTCGGTCTGGCTCTGCTCCATAGTAGCGCGAGTATTAAAGCCCACTGTCAGGCGATCCAATCAAATTGTCAGGGCGGGCTTTATACGATGATGGACAGATGATCAAGAGTAACGTTATCAACCACGTGACCAATGCGCGCTTGGGTGACAACAATAATGGCTGCCGCTGGAGAGTTTGGGTGAGTAGATTCTGCTATTAGGTCTGTTCTAGAAGATATCGACAGCAAATTAATTTTAAAAGAGGAACAGAGAAACGCGATCAAGTCTCATCTTCTTATTCTAGGCGTGAAACTGTACGCTTTGATTTTTGTGGACAACAACTATGCCTCGCTTAAGATACGTCACGCACTCCGTTGCTCTTATTGGTTGTAGGTCTATCCAATTGAGTGCAGAGGCATTTTTTTTCCTGGTTCGTTCAAAACACGCCCCATAATAACAGCTCTATGGAGCAGTATCAGACTCATATTCTGACTAGAATTGAGTCGGACTACGTCAGGCTAGTTATTGCCTATATTGTTTTGCTGTATGTTTGTGATGTATTTGTATGCCTAGACTGGCGGTTACACTGATGATGTTTTCTTTATGTGGGTAAATTGGGGTTGGCTCACCACGGTTTGCATTTTCAAATGAGGTTACTGTTAAATGATCCAGTATTTCAGTTAGTACGGTCCCGGGACATATTTGATAGTTTTGAGTTTTTACAATTTCGATTTCAAAATAAGAGTTTGGGTTCATAAGGAACTGAGTGTGTTTAAGTGCCTCTGAAGGCTATTTGGTGACATAATTTTCTGTTGATTACTCCAGACTAACTTTTATTTTATGGTCCGATTGTTCCGTTAAAAAAAGCTATTTTATTATTCCATTTCCATTGATCAGTTTCTGAGCTTGAAGCTTTAAGAAAATATAATTGTTTATCCAAACTGGTTGTTTATTCTAAGTTGTGGGGTGGGAGACATAAACATATCACACTCTCACAGGCGCATACTTCAAGTAACTTCTACCCTTCTTAAGCCACTACTGGTAGTATTAAGTGATACAAGATAGAAATTCTCATGTAAGTTCAGGCGCTTACATTAAAATGTAAAAATCCACTTATGTTATAGGTCTGTCTAAATGGTGAGAAAGTGTATTTTTTTACACTTTCTTCCTGTGTTTTACCAGTCTTGTAGTATTCCAGGTGTCTTTTCCTTCATCCATTCTTATACTCATGAGACAAACAGGAGGAATGTGAAGGAGAATTTATCAAAACCCTGATTTAATCACATTTTGTAATTGATAATTTGAACGCCCTGTGGTGCAAATTATCATAGCTCAACATCATTTGGTCTATTTTGCATTTTAAAAAACTATATAAGAAGATCAAATTGATTGTCATATTTATAGTACAAGTCCAAGTTTCATTTTAAAACAAAGTCAACGTTTCCTCATAAATAAACTCTAAAATCTTTTGACATTTTGACAAATTTTTTTTATTGTATAGCAGACCATGTATAAAACAAAGAAAACAGAAGGCAATAAACATAAAACAAATGTTTTCTCTATAGGTAAAATAATTCAAGCATGATAATGGTAACCTATGTATATTTATCACACACAATGTTGAATTTAGCAGTTACAATCACAAAACATTTGCAAAAAGTGGAGGCAAAGAAGGGAAGGAACAGAAAATGCCCTTTACCCTATTTTCTGTTCAAATTTGATCTTTCTTTATTATCTTTGATTAACAATCAGTAACACCAGAGTGCACACACACACACTCACATGCAAAGGATACAGTGTTATTTCAGTACATTTTGAAATGCACCCTTAAAGTGTACCCAATATTTCCATAAGTTTATATAAAGTTTAATGAAAGTTTAATTTGATATAAACATACAATTACATCGAAAATGTAACAAAAAAGGAGCTTGATAAAGTGTCACGTCCTTGTCAACTCTTATGGTCTGGATCACTTAGGCGCTCACTATACTGTAACTGAGCTGCCATTAAATGAATAATTCATACTGGCCTTTATGCCATATTTTATTAGTGATTGAAAGTTCACCCAAAGTCTCAAACCTTAACTGGCTCTGAAGGAAAGAACAGAGCTTCTCTTCCAATTTATTATTTTACAAAGAAAGCTGCAAATGAGAAAGATGGTTTGAAATAGAAGAAAAGCTGATGAATTGACCAAAGCTAATGTAGTGAACACTTAAGTATTTTATAATAGTGAATTTTTCTAACAGATGAGCTTCTGAGCTGCTAATAAAATCAGAGCTAGGCAGTATAGTGAAATGCTAAAGGTAGATCCAAAGCTATAAAGAAAGGTCTTTTGTTTTTATGTTAGTACATGAAATTTATTACAATTTAAATCTAGCTACATTTAGTGGTACTTTATTTGATTGATATTTATTATTTTATGACATTACCATATCTACTACAATTAAAACATATTATTCAAAAGGTATCCTTGCAGATCGGTGCAGAGAGCAAGAACAAGGAGCTCAGCTCAATCTATCAAAGTTTCTTTGAGTACTTTACCACTATTGTATGAATAAAAAAAAGAAAACTAAGAATGCTCAAACAGATGCCTGATTTTTTTTCTTTCTGGATTAACAGACAGGGACACTGCTGATACTACAGGGTCAAAACAAGAGAGACTTTCACAATGTTAGTGTTACAACTTTAGGTAACCTAATTGGAACAGAAAGTGGGGAGAGCATGAAGCAGGTGGACTGTTAGCTGTAGCTAGTTTATGTAGCAGTAGAAGGGAATAAACATTGCCAATCAAATAAATAATAATAAGATCTACCATCAGCGATTCGATCTTAGAGAAAAATGAGTACATATGTTATTCATAGCTTATTCAGAATAGGCAGCTTTGACCAACTGTTCAATACATAACATATTTGATCACAATGCATATAAAAGGTTGGTAGTATGCTGACTAGCTGTATAAAAGGATGAGTCCTTTTAAAACAGTTAAACCTAGATAAGTATCAACATGCTTATGTGAGCTTAACAAAATTATTTTAATAAACAGTAGATGACCTCGAAAACATAAAAAACATAATAGAGACCTAATAATATAGTTTATTAAATCCTTTCATATAAATCGGTATATGTCCAAAGCAATAAAGGAGTGTGCATTTATTCTATTGATCCAGTCTAGTGTAATACTCAGAGAAAGCCACATGTCTGCTGTTTATTAATGATAGATGACTTATTGACTGGATTATCAGCAATTAAACAGCTTAAAACAAATGCACATACAGGGTCAGAAGCAGGCAGTAGTGCTAATTAAGGATTTATCATTTATATTTGCAAAAAAAAAACAACTTGATTTACTTTTCCTGTATGAGCAAAAGGATTTTCCTCTGTCTCGATTCAACAGCTCTTAGTTTTTTAATGATAAAATTATTATTCACATGAGGGAGTGTTGGCCTAGTGGTTAGAGGAGTGCACTTGTTCTCTGACTTCAAGTACCTAATTCCCCTCAGCCTGCACTCTGGGTCTCTGAGTCAGACCCTTAAACCCACACTGCTCCTCGGGCACCACACAATGGCAGCCCACTGCTCCTCAAGGGGATGGGTTAAATGCAGAGAGTGAATTTCTCTAGTGTGAGATCAATAAAGTTAGATTATTATTATTATCAAACTAAGATGTTATAAGACTTTTACTGTTCATCATAAAACTTCCTTATCATGAATCTCCACTGATAATAACCAGCATAAGATAGTTTTAACGTTCTGATGATGAACAATTAGTTTCATCAGTGAATGTTATCTGTCCATCTTGTGAGTAAAGTGGACCTTATTTCAGCTCAGCTTCACCTGAGCAGAAGTATTTAATTGACTGATTCTGCTCAGGTTTGGATCTTTAAGTGGTTTTCTCAACTTTAACCTATTTTTCTAAGGCACAGTCTTTATTTATCACATAAAATATTTTGGAAAGACAAATGTAATTTCTTTAACAAACAGCCAAATTGTTAATTTCTCATTTCCAATTGTTAATTTCTCATTCTGGACTTAAATGTGAGCAGGACCACTTAGCTTTCTCTGAATTCTCACTCTTAGGTGACTGATATTCAATATTGGTTTTCTCATTGGGAGCTGTTATATGACTGATCCTGCTCAGGTCTCAGTATTATCTCCATAGATGATTTGTCACCTTTCCCAGGATTAAAAAGTGGGAACATTTCCCCTGAAAATTTGGTTCTCAAAGATCCAATCAGACATTTTTCTTCCACATTATAAAAGGAGAGCTCTCCACTGTCGTAGTCCAAATAAACACCGACTGTTTTTAATGTTGACTTGAAAGGAAAATATATATGTTTTTCACTGTTAAACTGAACACCATTTTCTTTATCAGGACGAGAAAAAAGGAACCAGAAACCATTTTTTATGGATAGAGGAAAACTTTGATCTTTAGGGAATTCTTGTTTATCTGTAACTCCGATCCACCAGGATTTCTTAGGTGGCAGTGTTGTATTTACATTTGATAAGGGTACTAAGGAAACCTCCCAGTAGTGTCGTCCAGAGGAGAAGCCAGGTGATCCTGTGACTGCTGTGAGACAGGTAACTCTGTCTCCATCTGGAAACCCTGCGTTACCATTATCTCTGAATAAAGAACCGGTCATTTTAATCAGCTGGTTTCCTGTGTCCACCGGTTGAACATTCACTGTAAAAGATAAGAAATTAGATCATAATCAATATAATCATAAAGAAAATGTCAAAAAGAATAATATTAAATGTAAATTTACCATAGTGTTTGGAAGCCTCTGATAGAGCTGTTGGCAGAAAATCTAGAGGAGAAAACATCATATAAATGTAATATGTATTATAAAGGCTGTCTCTGGCAGCTTAATATGCTGTGTTCTTACCTTCAGACAAAAGGGGTTTATTTTCTGTATAAAAAAAAAAAACAACACATTTTTTATTTAGCTTCAATTCTATTTGATTATTAAATCCATTTTACACATTAAAGGTAGTGATTAAATGATAAGTAGTTGTATAAAGTGTAATTCTCACTTTAATCACCATATTCTGAAACATGACTTTACAGAAAACAAATGAGGATTTAATTATTGTTACTGGAAGTGTTACTGTGTGATCAGGAGTTTAAAATGGAGTCATACGTGTAACAGAGCTTGTGTTAATGTTGTTTAATCATGTTAAAACAACTGGAGGGACTGAGCAAACCACAGTAAGGTGTGCTTTGTTTCCCATGGCTAATGAGGTATATCAGTTCAATTCAAATTCCTTTTTTTTTATGACATAAAAATTCTTTGTTTTTACTCAGTTGATATCAACACTTAAACCACATTGTCATGGTCTTGGTTCTGTTGTGCTTTACTTTGCTCCTTGTTTTATTGGTTTAATTCCTATTTTGTTGTAGTTTCTAGATTTATGTTCTCATGTTTTTCTGTTGTTGTCCTCTTTTGCCCTCTTGTGTATGTTCCTTTCCCCTTGGCTCCCTCGTTGTCTCCACTCACACCTGCTCCTTATCCACTCGTTAACCCTGCCTTTGTCTCAGTCAGCTACATATATTCTCCCTCTGCTGTCACTCTTTGTTGGTTCCTTGTCTTTGCTCTTCTCTCATGCAGTTGTCTACCCAACCCCTCTCTCCCTTGCTCCTCGTGTTTTGTTTCCCCAGTTGTCTCCATAGTTCTGGTTTGAATTACATTATTAGTTGGATTTTTTTGGATTCCTGCCTTTGTTACTGTTCCTCACCATTAAACTGCAAGAAGTCTCCTCAGCCTCTCTGCCTCTGCATTTGGGTCCTTAAACTTCAACCAAACCCTGACACACATGAAAGTCTTTCTGTTGTCCAAAATTCCTTAAAAAAGAAAATTTTATCCAATACACCGAATTTCTTTTAGGGAATTTTATATGAGCACACCAAAAATATCATATTAAGAAAAAGGAATTCTACTCTTTTAAAAATGTTTTACTTATACAAACCCTAGGGAAAAAACTGAATTTGACTTTCTCTCCCTTTCTTTTGTACCATTCTTCCCATTAATGCCAGATGCATGGAGTGCCTGAGTAATAGCTCACTTCTTGGTAAAACCTGATCAATGAATTAATAATATTGTTATTGTTTTTGTAACCCACCAGTTAGGGTTAAAGTACTATTTTTGTACCTACCTGGAAGTGGGTTACATTTTTTTGTTTTTTTGTTTTTCCCTTCGCTAATGATTAATTGTATCATATAAAATCCCTCCCAAAAACAGAATGCAGTTTGATGCTTTGATGAAATAGGAACAGGGGGTGCAAATAATTGTTGTAGTTTGTCCACTTATCTTAAAAATGTAGAAATGTGTAAAACCGCTGTAAATAGATACATCTAAACAATTTGTGAAGTTTCTTACCATCATTTGTGTCATTTTCTGGTTTAGTCCTATTAGCTGAAACAAAATGTTTTTTAGTGTATGAACTCAGTAATTATTCAAAAGTTAAGTTATTGTAATGAATTCATCTCTGTATTCTCTCTGACTTAAATCAAACATTTACCTTTGTTTCTGAAGTACAGTGCTCCACCAGCAGCTAATACAGCTGCTAGAAGTATCCCAAAGGCCACCCATCCAGCTGAGGAGGATCCAAAAACATCAAAACATAATTAGTAGATATTTTTCTAATAAAGAAAACATGATGGATATTCCAGGTACCTTTTTGTATATATGGTGAATGTTTAATGTGAATTCTGGCCTCCTTTGGCATTTCATTAGGAAGCCCAACAGAACAGGAGACCTCAGACAAACTGGGGACGAGGAGCCAACTGTGGACTGAATAAAGCCCTTTAGAGGTTTTCTCAAACACCACAACAACAGGAGTGAGAGCTTTTTTCCCATCTGACCAGTGCAGCTCAGGCTTTGGATACCAGCCTTCAGATTCACAGCTTATATTAACATTGTTATCGTCTTTAATCACTGCTGAAAGGAGAGGATGACGTCCAGTTTCTGAAAAAGAAAGATCATCATTTCATGTAGAAAACCTTCTGTTTGATTGTTTTGCCTCATTCTGTTTTCATTGTTCTCACCTGTCACTGTCAGACTAACAGCAGCACTGTCATAATCCTCAGTGCTGCTGAGAAAGCAAGAGTAGGTTCCTGTGTCTTCAATCATGGCGTTCTCCAGCTTCAGGCTGACATCACCTGACTTTAACCCTCCTGATGTTCCTTCCTTTAAGCCAAATGAGACTCGGCCAGCGTATGAAGCTTTCTGGGATGTTTGGTCAAAAGCTTTTCCCTTATAAAGCATGACTGGAGTATCAAATCCATCACTCCCCAAATACCAGCGTACCTCTAGATCTTCTGCACTCTGAGAGGAACTGCGCCAGCAGGGTAAGATGGCTGTTTGGCCTCGCTGGACTGTGATAGGAGACCTCACTGAAACAGTGAAAGTCTCTGAAACTAAAAAAAGGAAATCTTAATCAGTCAACTTTTCATTTATTAAACCAAATATTGTTTCAAAGTAAAGTTTTCCCTTAATGTCACGTCTGCCTTGTGTTTTTTTTAGTAAACTGTATGCCAGGTAGTAAATCCAGTTCAGTATGATAAGGAACATCTTAATCAAAATCATGAATGGGGCTAATTTGTTTTTTTTTTTGTGTGGTTATTTTCTGTTTAAATATATTTTTTTTCCACTGCTGGTAACAAAAGAGCATACATAGAATCAGAATCAACTTTTGTAAAGTTTGTGCAAAGAAATAATTTGACTTTGGTTCCACAGCAGAGGTGGACGGTAGTTAGTTACAAATACAACCAAGTACTTTGAAGAGTAGTTCTACTGCGATGTGTTTTTTTACTAGAGTTATTATTAGAAATATTGCTTTTACCTGAGTAAAATCATGTGTATCTTCAGCCAGAATGTGTCATCTTATAATTGTGGTAGTTATTTGAATTAGTTGTTTTTTCACAGTCTTAAAAATAGCTAAACTTGTACAGAACCATATCTCTTTGTCTGCCGGATTACATATTTTTGAAATGTGATACGAAGTTGCTCAGTACTCAAGTAATGTTTTTACACAAATTATTTTTGTTTTCGCAATGCATTGGATGGCAACTTTTCACTTTTACTAAAATATGGTAACATATGCTTCTCCTACTTAAGTAAAATTTCCTTAGAACCCTTCACCAGAGTACAAAAATCTTAAATATGATTGTATGAATTTTGATGAAATTAAGCTTTTCTTTTTGTAAATATGTACAGGTTTCTATAAAAGAATAGGAAAAGGTTGAAGTAGTGCAAAGATGCTGTCAGGGTTCCTGTATGTGTGTGTGTGTGTGTGCGAGTGAGTGAGTGAGTGAGTGAGTGAGTGCAAGTGATGCATATTTTCCAGAGAGGATCTAGTCAGAGTACATGGGTAGCCTACACAAGTGGAGCTCATCAGTCTTATCAGAGTGATTAAAAGTGCAGCAGAGAGTTATATCCAAACGTACATGCATGAGAAGAGAGTTTATGTGATCGTTCAAAAATATTTTTAAATCAATGTTGACATCTGTGTCCCTATTTGATTTTGGTATCCACTTTTGGATGTGGGCGTGGCTACGTACCATTGGCAATCGTCAATAAATGGCGGCAGCTCATTCACAAAAATTATTGCATGTAGGCCAAACAAAAATTCATGTCTGTGTCGCATCTTGCCTCTGTCTTAAAAGAATTATAAACTGTGGGAAACCAAGTTTTTGGCACACTTGAGTCTGCTTGACCTCAAAAGCACTATCCTATGTGCAGCCCCTGATGAGGACGCTGAAGGTGCCGAGGAAGATGGCAGTAAGAATGAAGAGGCATATGCAGTTCTAATTCAAGTGCTGGATGACAAGGTTTTTACCTTGTCATGAGAGAAGCTGCTGAAGATGGCAGGAAGGCGCTGCAGATCCTCCGTGACCATTACGCAGGGAAGGGAAAGCCACGCCTAAAGGACAGATTATACTTCTGCATCCGCACACATCAAATGTCACTTGGGTTTTGTCGCGAACCAGTTTTGCTGGTATGCTTCTGCACTGTCTATCTGGAATTTCTAGGGACGCACAGCAGTTTCCTGCCAAAGCGCGAAGGGGGAGCCTTTTTGAAAACTTGACTATCCACTTGCGGTGGATGGTCACGAGAGCTTCTTTGGTGGTGGGAGTGTTTATCTTCCAAAACAATAATGGCATGTCTGCAAGATATCACGGTCACAGAGATGAATCTAGAGTTGCTAGATATCAAAGAGGAACATGCTCTGTTAATGGAGTTGGCAAAAAGACGAAGGAGGACGCTTAGGTTGTCCATTGTAGTTGTTCCTCTGTGTTTTTAAAATGGCACGTCCCGGCACCGAATCAAGAAGGACGACCACACAGACAGCTGGAAAGGCATACTAAGGACAAACCGCAGATGCTTTCTGTCTGCGCACTTCCGCTTGGGGTCTGTGCGGGTTTGTGACCATCCTCCGTACTCAGGATTTTTTTGAGTTGGGTGATGACGGTTGTAGAACCTCTGCTCGGCGGGCGTGGTCGTGCACAGAGACACATTTGACGGTTGCAGAGGCTATGCGTCAGAAACATAAATTGGCATTAATAAGTTTGTACATGGTTTGTACACGGAGCTCACATCTGCATTACTCTCTGCTGCATTACAGCTTTGAGTGTCGTCTTGTTGACTGTAATGATTTTAAAAGGCCTTCCTTACACATATAAACCATTCTCTGTACATGTCACGCAGAGTGATGAAAAGTTGACCTTTGCTGAGTTTAATCAGAATCAGAAATACTTTAATAATCCCAGAGGGAAATTACTTTTGTTACACGCTCCAGTTACAGTTTTACATGATATATACACACATCCAACTATACAATATAATAAAGATAAAAAATAAGAATAAAAAGAGATAAAATATACACATATAGCTCTTCTGTATATATATCTGTACGTATATCTATGTATATGTAAAAACTAAATCCAAATAAAGTGAAAAGTCCAAAGATAGTGCATAAATGTCAATTACTTGGGCTGAATCACTTGAGGGAGGTGTTATATAGGTTGATGACCACAGGTAGGAATGATTTCCTGTGGCGCTCTGTGGTGCATCTGGGTAGGAGGAGTCTTCTGCTGAAGGAGCTCGTCTGCTGGACCAGTGTGTCGTGGAGAGGATGTGAGTCATTGTCTAAGATGGACTGAAACCTGGACAGCATCCTCCTCTCTGCCACGGTGGTCAGGGTGTCCAGCTGCTCCCACACAACATCACCGGCCCTCTTGATCAGTTTGTTCAGTCTGTTGTATTCAGCGACCCTCAGCCCACTGCCCCGGCATGTGACAGCAAAGAAGAGCGTGCTAGCAACAACAGACTCATAAAACATCCTCAGCATGGTCCCACAGATGTTAAAGGACTTCAGCCTCCTCAGGAAGAATAGTCGGCTTTGGCCCTTTTTGTAGACCGCCTCAGTGTTTCTAGTCCAGTCCAACTTATTGTTAAAGTACACTCCCAGGTACTTATACTCCTCCACAGTGTCAACAGGAACCCCCTGGATGGAAACAGGGGTCACAGGTGTTTTTGTCCTCCTCAGATCCACTATTAGCTCCTTAGTCTTTGTCACATTGAGCTGCAGGTGGTTCAGCTCACTCCAAGTGACAAAGTTGCCCACCACAGTCCTGTATTCACTCTCCTCACCCTTTTCAATGCAGCCAACAATTGCTGAGTCATCAGAAAACTTCTGAAGGTGGCAGGACTCAGAGCAATAGCTGAAATCCGAGGTGAAAAGGGTGAAGAGGAAGAGGACAGTCCCCTGAGGCGCCCCAGTGTTGCTGACCACCCTATCAGACACACAGTTCTGTAGGCGTACATACTGTGGTCTGCCCGTCAGGTAATCAACAATCCAGGACACGATGGGGGCCTCCACCTGCATCGCAGTCATCTTCTCACCTAGTAGAGCCGGGCGGATGGTGTTGAAGGCGCTGGAGAAATCAAAGAACATGATTCTCACAGTGCTCGCGGGCTTGTCCAGGTGATTGTAGACTCTGTTCAGCAGGAAGATGATGCTGTCCTCAACTACCAGGCGGGGCTGGTAGGCGAACTGTAGTGGATCAGTGAAGGGCCTGACCATGGGCCTTAGCTGCTCCAGGACAAGCCTCTCAAAGGTCTTCATGATATGGGACGTCAGTGCTACCGGTCTGTAGTCCTGAGGGTCGCTAGGGCGCGACGTCTTTGGCACCGGAACGAGGCAGGACGTCTTCCACAGCACGGGTACTCTTTGGAGGAGCATGCTCAGGCTGAAGACTAGGCTAAATATTCCACACAGCTGGTTGGAACAAGCTTTGAGCACCCAGGGGAGTACACCATCGGGGCCCGCAGCTTTGCCGGAGTGGAGTCTGGTTAGCTGTCTTCTCACTAGGTCAGGAGTTACGGGAAACTGTAGAGGTAACTGTAGAGGGAGGTCTGAGGTCCTCATGTTCTGTAGGACAGGATGTGAAGCAGGGGGGAGGGGTGGAGACGGTGGATGTGGATTGCGGTGGTGAAAAGCAGACAGGGGGTCTGCATGGAGGAGGAGTGGGAGAAGGTGGAGTGGTCGTTGGAGGGAAGCCAGCAGTGGAGGGTTGTGGACGAAGGGCCGCAGTATCAAACCTATTAAAAAATAAGTTCAGTTCATTGGCCCGGTCCACGCACCCTTCCAACCCCACAACAGTGGACTTCTGGAACCCTGTGATGGTTTTCATCCCACTCCACACATCCCTCATGTTGTTGGTCATGAGTTTATTCTCCAGCTTTCTCCTGTATTTGTCCTTAGCCTCCTTGATTTTTCGTTTGAGTACCCCCTGCACTCTCCTCACCTCCTCACGGTTGCCATCTCTGAATGGTCTCTTCTTCTCATTCAGGATGGCCTTTATTTTCTTGGTGATCCAAGGTTTGTTGTTGGGGTAACAGGTGACAGTCCGAGCTGGAACATTGCAGTCCACACAGAAGTTTATATAATCCGTGATGCACTCTGTGAGCCCATCAATGTCCTCCCCGTGGGGCTCACAGAGTGCAGGCCAGTCAGTCACCTCAAAGCAGGCCTGCAGTGCCTCACAAGCCTCCTCCGACCACCTCCTCACAGTTCTTGTGGTCGTTGGCTTCCTCCTCACCAGAGGCACATAACAGGGTTTGAGATGAACCAAGTTGTGATCTGACCTCCCCAGAGGGGGGAGAGGAGAGGAGATGTATGCATCCTTAATGTTAGCATACATCAGGTCCAGGGTCCTCACATCTCTGGTAGGGCAGCTCACATATTGTTTGTTGAAGGTCGGTAGAACTTTGTTCATGGTGACATGGTTAAAGTCTCCCGACATGATGATGAGGGCATTGGGATGATGGGTCTGTAGTTCAGAGATGATATTATGGATGGTGCTGCAGGCAGATGTTGGGTTTGCAGAAGAAGGGATGTACAGGACAACAGCGATGACATGCGGGATCTCTCTGGGCAGCTGATATGGACGGAGTCCAATGGCAAGCAGTTCAACATCCGGGCAACAGAGCTGTTTTTTAATGGTGATGTGACCCGGGTAACACCATCTGCTGTTTACTAGAATGGCAAGCCCCCCTCCTTTTCGCTTACCACTCTTAGTGTCCCGGTCGGCCCGGATGGTATGAAAGCCATCCACGGAGACAACCAGGTCCGTAATGTCTTTGTGCAGCCATATCTCCGTAGAGCACATCAAACTGCACTCCTGATACTCCGGTTGACTCCGCGTTAGCGCCGTTAGCTCGTCCATCTTGTTGCTAAGAGACCGCACGTTTCCCATAACGACAGAGGGGTGACACTGCTTAAATCTTCTCCTTTCAATAAGTCCGTCCTGTCTCGACCCTCCTTTCATCCCACAATGTTGTTTTCCTCCTCTGCAACCATGGCGTGTTTTCCTCCAGAGTTCGGGTGGTATTCCAGCTGGTCTGGCTAAAACGCCAGCCGGCATTAGAGCAATCAGCTGTTCTCTGGAGTAAACAAAGGCAGCATGTCCCGGTGGGAGTGGCATGATAAAAACAGCACAAAAAAGCACAGAAACTCCCCGAAAAATACCTCATTATAGAGGATAGTACTTCACAGAGTCACTGTGAAAAAATAAGAGCAATCAAAAAAAGATAAAAATACGAAAGTTAAAAGCGTAACAGGAGCGGTGTAACTGCAGCATGCTGCTTTCGCGCATGCGCATACAAAAGTTAAAACCAAACTGAGGAGCTATGAGAGCATAGAAAGGTTAGGTGCGTCTGACTCCACAGAGGACAATGCAATGAAAGTCGAGGGAGAGACACCTAGAGCAAGCTCACCTGTTTCACCTGTGGTCAGAAGGGCCACAAAGCCGTTGACTGTGCGTTAGCTGCTGGAGAGGGCAGAGAGTCCAGGCAATGTTGCAGTTTCTGTAAGAGCGCCATGCACATGGACACACACTGTCGGCGCAGAAAGCGGGCAAAGTGAAGCAAACGATTGATAAGGAGGTTCATACGTTCGTTTTCAAGATCCAGTTGGAGGATGTCCCGGTCTGAGGAGTCGAGGTGAAGGGTCTGATGGTTGACTCGGGTGCAACAAAGCACATCATTACTGACATTGACAGGTTTGAACAGTTTGATCCAACTTTCAAGCTTCAGAGTCACACATTGCAGTTGGCTGATGGAGAGCGCACCACTGGTGTCGCGCAAAGGAATGGCACTGCCAAATTGCGTCTAAGAGACAGTAAAGGCCGTGTCTTGTACATATCGCTGATAGAGGCGCTCTATGTGCCATCATTCTCACAGGATGTCTTTTCTGTTAAAGCGGCTACAGCACAGTAGTGACTGTTATCTACAAAGAAGGACAGAATCCACTAATCCATAAGAACGGTACGAGTTTTAATATTGACACGCATGACAGACTGTTCTATTTGAGTACTGTGGATGAAGCTGATTAATTCAATATGTGTTACGATATTCAGACATTCAGGCATGAAATTTTGGGACACTGCAATTATGATGATGTGTTAAAGTTGGAAAATGTAACAGAAGGGGAAAAATTAAGACAAAAAGTCGAAGACGAAATAGAGATCCAGATGAAAGGGAAAAGGGCATTCTAAAGCTTGTTCACGCAGAGCTGGCAGGGCCTATAACACCAGCAGGAAAACATGGTTTCAAATTTACTTTAGCATTCACTGGTGATTATTCTGGAGCTGTGTTCACTTATTTTCTAAAAGCTAAGAATGACACTGTTACAGCTACAGAGAAGTTCATTGCTGATGTGGCACCTTATGGCAAAATTAAATGTATAAGTTCAGACAACGGAACTGAATTTACCTGTAATATGTTTCAGTCTTTGCTCTGTAAAATTAGCATTCAACATCTGTGTCCCTAATTGATTCTGGTATCCACTTTTGGATTGGGCATCTAATAAATGAGTGGAAACTGTATAAACTGTATAATCTGAATGATCTACTCATTAATAAGAAGAATCATGTCACATAAACAGATAAACTACAAATGTTAGAAGAAATTTACCCTTAAGGTTTAAAATTTTTCAGAATAACTGACTGACTCTGAGGAGACAGGTGGATTTAGGGAACTTACCAAGAGCAGTATAGCTTCGTGAAGTAAGCAGCACCAAAAAACAAAAGTGCAAAGTCAAATTTTCTGTGAAAATGAAAATAAAAACAATAGATAATTATAAACAAAAGAAGCAATTATAGGAAGACAAACATGGTTTACAAATCATAACATGCTGATGAAAACAGCCTTAAAGTAGAATCTTGGTGATATTTACCCCCTAAGGCTGCAAATATAACGCCCTGCCAACCCATTGTCTCTCTATAAATCAAAGGTCACACAGATATATCTGCAAATAAACACCCGCTGTTGGATTCTTTCTGACGACGCAAGTTTTTAATTTAATGCCAGGAAGATAAATTTAATCTGAAATCAGCTTTTAGATGACAAATTATAACAATAAAAAAATAGACGCAGCAATGACCGTTCAGAGTACTTTCACTTTCAACTTAAATGTGATCCAACTTGTTGTTGGTGGAGGAGGAAGGTGGAGTCTCTCCTACCAAATCCTGTTTATAGAAAGACATTGCTTGGGCATGCATGCTTACAGTGTAAAACACTTACACTTACTACGAACCAATAAAAACATTTACCTTCATAGTGACTTAAAGTCTTTACAATCAAAAGTGGTGTAAGAAGCCTGGGCTTCACAAACCCCTCTGTGTATCTGATCATAGAAATAACATAAACTGACAAAATAATAATAAATAAAAATCATATGTGAATACATAAATAAGTCAGACACTGTTTTTCATCCATGCTCATCGAATCATTTTAAAAACTACACTCCTGAATCAGGTTTGAAGGAATGATATCCTTAAGTAAATATTTTGCTGCACAACCTTTTGAAGCAATCACTGCAATCAATCGATTATTCTGTCATTGAGACTTCTGCTCCTCTCAGCAGGTATTTTTTTCCAGTCCTCATTAGCAAACTGCTCCAGTCTTCTCAGGTTTGTAGTCTTCCTTTTCCAGATGGCATCTTTCAGCTCCTTCAAAATGTGCTCTACAGGATTTAGGCCAGGCCTCATAGAGGCAAATTCAGAATAGTCCAATGTTTTTTCACATCAGTGAGGTGTCAGCTAAGTGAAGCTGACACCTCACTGATGTGAAAAAACTCAACAAATAGTTTATATTTAAACAGAGATTTCTGTCGCGTGCGCGGTGAATCGTGCTGCCTGCGCTGTGTTGAGATGCAGGGGAAACCGTATCTGATGAGGAAACGCAGCTCGACGTAACACCGGTATTTCCATCCAGAAAACGCTGTTTTGCTGCTGGATTCCTCCTCACTCTCCATCTCTCTGTGTGTGCTGTACGTTAACACCCGCCAGCGGAAACACCCACGGGGTGTCGGCAATGGTAACTGCGTTATAGTTACAGTAAGAGTAATCATTTTGATTACTCGTTACTAAAAAAAGGCAACGGTGTTAGTAACGCCGTTACTTTCAACGCCGTTACTCCCATCACTGCTGATGACACATGACTGCATCCCCAGGTTCACCACCAATCACATTGTGAAGTTCGCGGCCTCATCAGAGACGACAATAACCTGATCCTGAATGTGGAGAAGATGAAGTAGATCATTGCTGGCTTCAGGAAGAGTCAGTCTAACCACGCTCCACTGCTCATTAAGAGCTCAGCTGTAGAGGTGCTCAGCAGCACCAAATTTCTGGGGGTGCACATCACCGACACCTTAACCTGGAATGTAAACACCACCTCACTGATCAAAAGGGCACAAATGCGCATGTACTTATTGCTGAGGATGAGGAGAACCCACCTGCCCCCACCCATCCTCACCACCTTCTACAGAAGCACCATAGAGAGCGTTCTGACCAGCTGTCTCACTGTGTGGTGTGGAGGCTGCAGTGCCTCAGACTGGAAGAAGCTGAGAAAGTAGTAAGAAATGCAAAGAAGCTCATCAGGGCTCCTCTTCCCTCCATAAATGACATTTCATCCCAGCGCTCCGTGTCCTGACCCCATAACATTATCATCATCAATGACCCCTAACATCCCCACCAGCGCCAGCCAGCAGATGGAGGCAGGACGGGGGGAATGGGCTCGGCACTTAGCGGAGACTTGAGATGATCTTGGAGCAGTTCACACTCGAACCTGACAAGTAAAAAAGAAAAAATATATATACACAGTCTCAATCACGCCTTCCCACCCTAGAGCCCCCACTAGCAAGACACAGTTTCTGTGAAGAAAAAAAAAAAAAAAACACGGACGCACATTCACACATATCACTCACATCCAATAATTACAGGACCAAGGACCCAGCGGTGCTGGTGTCCGGTCCCAGGATTACCGGATGACCCAATAGGTGAACCTGAAATTTTTTTATTGTAGAGCAATCAAAAATTTACCATGCTAAAATTATTCAAGCATGATAATGGTACTTATATTTATCATACATAGTTTTGAATTTAGCAATTACAATCACAAAACATTTACAATAAGTAGAGGCAAAAAGAGGGACAGAAAATGCCCTTCACCCTAACTCTGTTCAAATTTGATCTTTCTTTATTATCTTTAAATAACAATCAATAAAACCAGAGTGCACACACACACATAGGTTACAGTGTTAATTCAGCACATTTTAAAATGCACCCTTAAAGTGTACCCAATATTTCTATGAGTTTCTATAAAGTTGAATGCAAGTTCGATTTGATATACACATACAATGACTTGAAAAATATAACAAGAGAGAGCTTGATGAAGTTGGACACTTTGTCAACTCTTATGGTCTGGATAACATTGACACTCCCTGTACTGTAACTTCACTGCCATTAAATGAAGAACTCATGCTGGCCTTTATGCCACAGTTTTATTAGTGATTAAAGGTTCATCCAAAGTCTCAGACCTTAACTGGCTGTGAAGGAAAAGAACAGAGCTTATTTTCCAATTTATAATTTTCAAAGAAATCTGCAAATGAGAAAAATGGTTTGATATAGAAGAAAAGCTGATGAGTTAACCAAAACCAAATCACTTAAGTATTTTATAATAGCGAATTTTTCTAACAGATGAGCTTCTGAGTTACTAATAAGATCAGAGCTAGGCAGTATGGGCAAATGCTAAAGGTAGATCCAAGGCTATAAAGAAATGTCTTTTGTTTTTATGCTAGTACATGAAATGTGATATAATTTAAATTTAGCTACAATTAGTGGTACTTTATTTTATTTTGTGATATTACATTATCTACTACAATTATAGCATATTATTCAAAAGGTATCCTTGCAGAAGTGTGCAGAGAGCAAGAACACAGAGCTCAGCTCAATCTATCCAAGTTTCTTTGAATACTTGAATACCACTATTGTATGATTAATTAAAAAAAACAAAGAAAACTAAGAATGCTCAAACAAATGCTTGAATTTTTTTCTTTCTGAATTAACAGACAGGGACATTGCTGATACTACAGGGTCAAAACTAGAGAGACGCTCACAGTGTTAGTGTTACAATTACAGGTACTGTAACCTAATTGGAACAGAAAGTGGAGAGAGCATGAAGCTACACACAGCATGTGGGCTGTTAGCTGAAGCTAGTTTACGCAGGTTAAGAACAGAATAAACATTGCCAAAAAAAAATTAGTACATGTGTTATTTGAGCTTATACAGAATAGGCAGCTTTGACCAACTGTTCAATACATAACATATTTGATCACAATGCATATAAAAGGTTGGTAGTATGCTGAATAGGCTGTATAAAAGGATAAGTCAGTTTTATTACAGTTAAGCCAACCTGCTTACGTATGTGGGCTTAATAAAATGAATTAAAAAAACAGTAGATAACCTCAAAAACATAAAAAACATAAAAGTGACCTAATAATATAGTTTATTAAATCCTTTCATATAAATCGGTATATGTCCAAAGCAATACAGGAGTGTGAATTTATTTTATTGATCCAGTCTAGTCTAATACTCAGAGAAAGCCACATGTCTGCTGTTTATTAATGATAAGTGACTTATTGACTGGATTATCAGTAACTAAACAGCTTAAAACAAATGCACATACAGGGTCAGAAGCAGGCAGTAGCGCTAATTAAGGATTTATCATTTAAATTTGGAAAACAATTAAACTGATTTATTTTATATGAGCAAAAGGTTTTTTCTCTGTCTCGATTCAACAGCTCTTAGTTTTCTTTAATGATAAAATTATTATTTACATGAGGGAGTGTTGGCCTAGTGGTTAGAGGAGTGTGCTGGTTCTCTGAGAAGGCTGCAAGTACCTGATTTGATCCGCACAGCATCCACTCTGGGTCTCTGAGTCCGACACTTAACCTCACACTGCTCCTCGGGCGCCACACAATGGCAGCCAACTGCTCCCCAAGGAGATGGGTGAAATACAGAGGTACCTTTTTCCAGTGTGAGATCAATAAATTTAAATTATTATTATCAAACTAAGATGCTATAAGGCTTTTACTGTTCATTGAAAAGCCTCTGTATTTATGAACCTCCACTGATAATAACCAGCATAAGATAGTTTCAACGTTCTGATGATGAACAATTAGTTTCATCAGTGAATGTTATAGGTCCATCTTGTGAGTAAAGTTGACCTTATTTCGGGTCAGCTTCACCTGAGCAGAAGTATTTAATTGACTGATTCTGCTCAGGTTTGGACCTTTAAGTGTTAACCTAGTGTTTTTCTAAACTTTACCCTATTTTACTAAGGCACAGTGTTTATTTATTACATAAAACATTTCTTTAACAAACAGCAGAATTGATTGTATAATGTGAATCCCAAATTTCCCCCCCAATTGTTAAATTTCCATTCTGGACTTAAATGTGAGCAGGACCACTTAGCTTTCTCTGAATTCTCACTCTTAGGTGACTGATCCTGCTCAGTATTAGTTTTCTCATTAGGAGCTGTTATTTGACTGATCCTGCTCAGTATTCGTTTTCTCATTGGGAGCACTGGTTTTTGACTGACCCTGGTCAGTATTCGTTTTCTCATTGGGAACACTGTTATTTGGCTGATCCTGCTCAGGTCTCAGTATTATCTCCATAGATGATATGTCACCTTTCCCAGGATTAAAAAGTGGGAACATTTCCCCTGAAAATTTGGTTCTCAAAGATCCAATCAGACATTTTTCTTCCACATTATAAAAGGAGAGCTCTCCATTGTCATAGTCCAAATAAACACCGACTGTTTTTAATCTTGACTGGAAAGGAAAATATATAAATGGTTCACTGTTAAACTGAACACTATTTTCTTTATCAGGACGAGAAAAAAGGAACCAGAAACCATTTTTTATGGATAGAGGAAAACTTTGATCTTTAGGGATTTCTTGTTTATCTGTAACTCCGATCCACCAGGATTTCTTAGGTGGCAGTGTTGTATTTACATTTGATAAGGGTACTAAGGAAACCTCCCAGTAGTGTCGTCCAGAAGAGAAGCCAGGTGATCCTCTGACTGCTGTGAGACAGGTAACTCTGTCTCCATCTGGAAACTCTACTTGATTATCTCTCAATAAAGAACGGGTCATTTTAATCAGCGGGTTTCCTGTATCCACCAGCTGAACATTCACTGTTAACAATATGAAATTAGATCATAATCAATATAATCATAAAGAAAATGTTAAAAAGGAATAATACTAAATGTAAATTTACCATAGTGTTTGGAAGCCTCTGATAGAGCTGTTGGCAGAAGATCTAGAGGAGAAAACATCATATAAATATAATGTGTATTATAAAGACTGTCTCTGGCAGCTTGATATGCTGTGTTCTTACCTTTTGACAAAAGGGGTTCATTTTCTGTGGGGAAAAAAAGCATTTTAGATTTTTTAAATCCTGGGTTAGAGAAACTTTGAAAAGATCTACATCTACAGGAACATTTCTAGTTAGTTCCTCCAATAAGTAATTGATTCAACTAAATATTTCTAAAATAGCAAAATTACTCTAATAGTAAATGAGGTCAGATATGAATAATGTGTGTACCTTCAGAACTGCTCATGCGTTTTCCTCCTTGTAGAAGAAAATACATTTTTTAATTAGCTTAAATTGTATTTGATTATTTTATCCATTTTACACATTAAAAGGAGTAATTAAAAGACTAGTTGTATAGAGTGTAATTCTCACTTTAATCACTAAATCTAGAAACATGACTGTTACTGTGTGATCAGGAGTTAAAAATGGAGTCATAACAGAGCTTGTGTTAATGTTGTTTAAGCATGTTAAAACAGACTGGAGGGATTGTGCAAACCACAGTAAGGTGTGCTTTGTTTCCCAGAGACAATGAGGTATATTGGTTCAATTCAAATTCTTTTTTTTAAATGACTTAAAAATATCCATTGATATCAACACTTAAACCACATGAAAGTCTTTCCATAGTCCAAAATGCCTAATAAAAAGCAATTTTTATCCAATACAACTTCAAATTTTATATGAACACACCAAAAATATCATGTTAAGAAAAAGGGACTCTACTCTTTTAAAAATGTTTTACTTATAAAAACCTGAGGAAAAAATGTTTTCTTTTGTTTAACACACTTTAATATAGTCAAATCTCATTTTTGCTCTTGTCTCATAGTAGATCCTTTCACATGTTCACTGTGCTCCTACATGGCAGGAAGCAAACTGTGAATTGGAATGTCTCTGGCTTTCTTTTGTACCATTCTTCCCATTAATGCCAGATGCATGGAGTGCCTAAGTAATAGCTCACTTCTTGGCAGAACCTGATCAGTTAATTAGTAATATTGTTATTGTTTTTTTGTTTGTTGTTGTTTCCCCCTTCTCTAATGATTAATTGTTGTATCATATAAAATCCCTCCTAAAAAACAGACTGCAGTTTGATGCTTTGATGTGTTGAAACAGAAACAGGGGGTGCAAAGAATTGTTCTAGTTTGTCCACTTATCTTAAAAATGTATAAAACTGCTGTAAATAAATACATTTAATGAGTTTGTTACGTTTCTTACCATCAGTTGTGTCATTTTCTGGTTTATTCTTTTTTGCTGAAACAAAATATTTTTCAATGTATGAAATCAGTAATTATTTAAATGTTAACCTATTGTACTGACTTTATCGTGGCATCCTCTCTGACTTAAATCAAACATGTACCTTTGTTTCTGAAATATAGTGCTCCACCAGCAGCTAATACAGCTGCTAGAAGCATGCCAAAGGCCACCCATCCAGCTGGGGAGCATCCTGACTCAGGGGGAAAAAGCAAACATGTTTAATAGACATATTTCTTGATGAAAACTAAGAAAGAAAACAAAACAGAGATAAAGGGTACCTTCTTGTACACATGGGGAATGTTTAATATGCATTCTGGCCTCCTTTGGCATTTCATTGGGAAGCCCAACAGAACAGGAGACCTCAGACAAACTTGGGAGGAGGAGCCAACTGTGGACTGAATAAAGCCCTTCAGAGGTTTTGTCAAACACCACAACACCAGGAGTGAGAGCTTTTTTCCCATCTGACCAGTGCAGCTCAGGCTTTGGATACCAGCCTTCAGATTCACAGCTTATATTAACATTGTTATCGTCTTTAATCACTGCTGAAAGGAGAGGATGACGTCCAGTTTCTGGAATAGAAAGATCATTTCATGTAGAATTTGTTCTGTTTGATTGTTTTACCTCATTTTGTTTTCATTGTTCTCATCTGTCACTGTCAGACTAACAGCAGCACTGGCATATTCCTCAGAGCTGCTGAGAAAGCAAGTGTAGGTTCCTGTGTCTTCAATCATGGCGTTCTCCAGCTTCAGGCTGACATCACCTGACTTTAACCCTCCTGATGTTCCTTCCTTTAAGCCAAATGAGACTCGGCCAGCGTATGAAGCTTTCTGGGATGTTTGGTCAAAAGCTTTTCCCTTATAAAGCATGACTGGAGTATCAAATCCATCACCGCCCAAATACCAGCGTACCTCTAGATCTTCTGCACTCTGAGAGGAACTGCGCCAGCAGGGTAAGATGGCTGTTTGGCCTCGCTGAACTGTGATAGGAGACCTCACTGAAACAGTGAAAGTATCTGAAACTAAAAAAGGAAATCTTAATCAGTCATCTTTGCATTTATTAAACCAAATACGGTTTCAACATAAAGTTGTCCATTAATGTCATATCTGTCTTATGTTATGCCATATGCCATGATCATACTTTTTGGACATTGGGAAGCAGTGTCCATATTTCATCCTGATAGGATGACCAGAGAAGAAACCGCAGCTTTGGTGAATAACAGCTGGGGGACTTCTGCAGCCCCCCTTTTTTCAGCCAAAGCAAGTCACATGGGAGCCACCAGAGGTGTGAAAACCTACCCCCCCTCCCTGTGAGGACACAGAAAACCACAGAGCACGCAGGATTCTGCCTCTTTTGGCCTCTCTCTTTTGCTCTTCTGCTGCAGCACCTCTCTCCTGGTCCCTTCTGCTCCTGCGCTCAAAGCTGGGGCCCACTGTGGCCCACAGTGGAGATGCGGGCCCCAGAGGAACCAGATCCCCAGAACCATCAAGGATGAGTCAGAACTCTTCAGAACCTAACTGCTGCAAACAGAACTTTTGCACATTTCTCTTGAGTTTCAGAACTTACAGAGCCAAACTGGATGAGAACCATATCCTTGGGGGTGAGACTGAGGGGACCCCTGCTGTGAGACTGAGACAATGAGTCCCTGACTGCAGAGCTGCAAAACTGGATGAAACTCAAGCTTTCCAAACGGACATGGAAAAAGGTTTGCAGGTCTGGCATGATTAGGGACAGAACAAGCAATGTGTCTTTTGATGATGCTAATCATATCGTGTGTTTACTGCTGAGTAAAGACAGCGTCAATTGATGCTAAAGAATGGACTGCATGCTACGCTATGCTACAGGAATATGTGTTGAGCTGTTGCTAAGCTTAGACAAGCTTTATTCACTAAGGATTTAAACACTGATATAACATTAGTGTTCACGTGTTCCTCAAATGCTCGTTACATTTCCATTACCAAGTATGACCAAAAGTCATTTAGTGGAAGCCTGATGTCTATTCGCTGCTAGCTATTTCAAGGAGGGTAAAGAATCATTTAGCTTAAGGTTATTGGTTCTTAATTAAGCAAATCATTCAATAAAACATTATTTGGCCAAATAATGTTTTATTCACCTCATGGATTTGCATTGTGAATTGGTCTGAAAACATTCCAATTTCTTTAAAATTAGTGAAAGGCTAATATGATCATATCCCATATTCTTCCAGATAAACTTTGGTTTCAAACACAGAATCCATCTTAACCTGTAATATGTTTTTCAACCGTTTTTCCCTTCCTCTTTGTACATAGTAGTTAGTTTAGTTTAGTTGAGTTTTACTAGTCTTAGTTGAGAGTGTTAAACTGGAATACGTTTGATGTGGAGCTGAATGATTTTTGTTAATAAAATCTTATATTTTGAACTGAATTTGGGGTGAATTTATTCCACGTATGTGCAGAAATAACTGTCTGACCATGATTAGTGCTCGAATCACTCTTTCATCTATTGTTCTAACACACAGTTAGTAGGACTGTGTGTCATAAACAGTATATAACAGCTGAAATAATATCTGATTAAATAAGATATTTTACCACCCCTACAGGGGAGGGCAATAAAAATCTTAAAGTATCAGAAACATAAATTCCCAGCGGGCTGGGAATAGAATTTAACTATAGAATCACAACACTTATGTTTATTCAGTAAACTGTATAACAGGTAGTAAATTAAGTTCCCAATGATGAAGAAACCTGTGGGTTATGGCTAGGGGTGTGCAAAATAATCGTCATGATGATTCATCGTGATTCTAATTTTCATGATCTACTGCATCGATTCTTGACGCCAAGTATCGATTATTAATTTAAAAAAATGAGTAAATAAAATTGCTTGAATGGTTGGCGAACATCAGCCAAAAACAAGTGTAATACAACTTCCAGTCCAGTAGATGTCGCTGCGGATGTGTTGACGCACGCTGCCTTGTGTCGCAAGCATTTCCGGCCGCGGGATACTGCGCCGAGTCATTCAAAAACAAAACATGGAGGAGAAAATATTGCAATGCATTGCAATAATTCAAGTATCGTGATGCATCGCGATAGAATCGCATCGTGGCCTGTGAATCGTGATTCGAATCGAATCGTGACTTCTTTGGCAATACCCACCCCTAGTTATGGCTCACCTAAAATGTAAAAATATTAGCAAATAGAAAAACATTCTTCTTTAATTGATGATAACCCTCATTATAAACTCTTAACTAAAATCATGAATGGGATAAATGAGTTTTTTGTTTATTTTCTGTTCAAATATGTTTTTTTTCACTGCTGGTAACAAAAGATCATATAGAATCAGAATCAATTTTTGTTAAGTTTGTGCAAACAAAGAATAGAAGTAGTAGTTCAACTGCATTGAGTATTTTTACTAGAGTTATTATTAGAAATATTGCTTTTACTTGAGTAAAATCTTGTGTATCTTCAGCCAGAATGTGTCACCTTGTAATTGTGGTAGTTATCTGAATTAGTTGTTTTTTATCAGTTTTAAAAATGGCAAAACTTGTACAGAACCTTATCTCTTTGTCTGCCCAATTACATATTTCTGAAATGTGATACGAAGTTGCTCAGTACTAAGGTAACCTTTTTACACAAACTATTTTTGTATTTAGAATTCATTGGAAGGCAACTTTTCACTTTTACTAAAACATGGTAACAGCGCTACTTCTATTTAAGTAGAATTTCCTGGGTACCCTTCACCTCAGAGTACAAAAATCTTTAATATAGTGGTATCAGATGGTATCAGATCCACCAGGCAACCCACTCCGAGCGCCCCACAGCCCCCCCAGGATCCAAGTACCCCCAAACCAGCCCGGCCCCGTAGGACGCACCCCACAGCCCCCCCAGGATCGAAGTACCCCCGAACCAGCCCGGCCCCGTAGGACGCACCCCACAGCCCCCCACTACACTAAGTGATGGAGCTAATCAAGGGAGCCCAGAGAGATCGGGCTGATGGGGATGCAGCTGCTGTCTCAAGATTAAAATGATCTAACAACAGATCCCTATACTAATTGATGCTGAGTTTATCCTTACAGACTCCTAGTTCTCTGAATTACCACCCAACTCACACTCAGGGGAATAATCATCACCCTTTCCCCACATGGGACCCTGGCCATCTTCCCTGCAGGCCTAGCTCAGAGTCATTCAGAAGTAAGCTCTCTTTATTAATCCCCGATCAAAAGTTTCTGGCCACCATTAACTCCACTCTCATTCCCGACGCCACCGATCATGGAACCTCCTCCACACTCCTGAAAGTTCACCAATTGTCTGTTGCTCATTTTTCTGCAAATAAACCCTTTTCCAAATGTGAACCAAGTTGATTCTCCATGTGTGTCAGAGAGTTATATCCAAACATGTCACATGCATGAGAAGAGAGTTTATGGTTGTTCAAAAATATTTCTAATTCAATGTTGACATCTGTGTCCCTAATGGATTCTGGTATCCACTTTTGGATGTGGGCTTGGCTTGGTACTGGTGTGCATCATCAATAAATGGCGGCAGCTCATTCACAAAACTTATCGCATGCAGGCCAAACAAAAATCCACGTCTCTGTTGTATCTCGTCTCTGTCTTAAACTGGCTGATCAGCTCTTGTGGCGATGGCTGCGCCAAAAATCAATATTTAAGAGAACAGAAATCATTTGCCTGTAAGTGTACTTACAAAGAATTATTTCTTAACTTGGGATTTTGATCCTATGGAATAAATATAGGACCTTTAAATATGAATTTCTTTTAGTGCAAAATCAGGCTCCAATGAAACTGCATAATCTGAATGATGTACTGAGTAAACTACTTATTAATCGGAAGATTAATGTCACATAAACAGATAAATTGCAAATGTTAAAAGAACCTGACCCTTAAGGTTTAAAATTCTCCAGAATAACTGACTCTGATGAGATAGGTGGATGGAGGGAACTTACCAAAAGCAGCATAGCTTTGTGAAGTAAGAAGCGCCAAAAAACAAAAGCAAAACTTCAAATTACCTGTGAGAAAGAAAATAAAAACAATAGATAATTATAAACGATAGTAGCAATTATAGGAAGAAAAACATGGTTTACAAATCATAACATGCTGATGAAAACAGCTTTAAAGCAGAATCTTGGTGATATTTACCTAGTAAGGCTGCAAATATAACACCCTGCCAACCCATTGTCTCTATAAATCAAAGTTCACACAGATATATCTGCAAATAAACGCCTGCTGTTGGATTCTTTCTGACCACGCAAGTTTTTAATTTAATGCCAGGAACATAAATTTAATCTGAAATCAGCTTTTAGATGACAAATTATAATAAGAAAAAAAATAGACGCAGCAATGTCCGTTCAGAGTACTTTCACTTTCAGCTTTAATGTGATCCAACCTGTTGGTGGAGTAGGGAGGTGGAGTCTCTCCTACCTTATGTTGTTTATAGAAAGACATTGCTTGAAGGGAAAATGGGCGTGCATGCTTACGGTGTAAAACACTTACACTTACTACAAACCAATGAATACATTTAACTTCATAGTGACTTAAAGTCTTTACAAGCAATACATAAAGTGGTGTAAGAAGCCTGGGCTTCACAAACCACTCTATGTATCTGATCATAGAAATAACTTAAACTGACAAAAAAATAATAAATAAAAATTATATGTGAATATATAAATAAAAGTCAGACACTGTTTTCCATTCATGCTTCAAAATAATCATTTTAAAAACTACACTCATGAATCAGGCCTGAACAGGAATGATGATATCTTAAGTAAATATTTTGCTGCACAACCTTTTGAAGCAATCACTGCAATCAATCACTTATTCTGTCATTGAGACTTCTGTTCCTCTCAGCAGGTATTTTGTTCCAGTCCTCATTAGCAAACTGCTCCAGTCTTCTCAGGTTTGTAGTCTTCCTTTTCCAGATGGCGTCTTTCAGCTCCTTCCGAACGTGCTCTACAGGATTTAGGCCAGGCCTCATAGAGGCAAATTCAGAATAGTCCAATGTTTTCCTCATTCTTAGGTGTTTGTTTTTGGTCAATATCTGCTGCAGACCCAGACCTTGACTGAGACCAAGCTTTCTCACACTGGGCAGAACATTTCTCTACAGTATCCCTTGATAGTCTTTAGGTTTCATTGACCTCACAGAGATTCCCGACACCCTGTGCCAGATGAGGCCAAGCATCCCCAGAACATAACAATGATTCCTCCATGTTTCACACTAGGGACAGTGTGACATGATTATTGGAACTAGTGCTGGTTTAATCATCATCCCTTTGACTATCCCATAAACTACTTCCTGGCACCATGCCTTATAGAGTTGGACTATGATATCTCTCGTTACTGAAAGCTCAGGCCATGAAGGCCTATATTGATGATTTCCTCAAGGCTGGCCTTATTCGTCCTTCTGCTCCTGCTGGAGCCGGTATCTTATTTGTCGGGAAAAAGGATGGAGCTCTTTCCCCTCTGTATCGATTACAGGGGAAAAAATGACATAACTATAAAAAAAAAATTACCTTGTGCATTTGATCAGATCCACGGAGGGGGAAGATCTTCATCAAACTTTACCTCTGCAACTCATACCATCTGGTTTGCATCAGAGTAGGTGATGAGTGGAAAACTGCTTTCAACACACCTACTGGACACTTTGAGTACCTGGTCATGCCATCCTGACTCACCAACGCTCCGGCTGTTTTTCAAAGTTTCAAGGTCAATGACATTCTAATGGTGCGTTCACACAGGAGGCGGTGGATGCAGTGATTTCCCGGAGCCCGGCAGGTAGTTTAGCGCTCTGCATTTTAGACGGATAGTGTTTACACCCTGGACTGCATCATCCAATAAGAGGATCTTCAGCTCCGTGAAGCTGACACCTCACTGATGTGAAAAACTCAGCAAATACACTGAATTGTCTATTTAATGCATCTTTATTGCATTTTTGTGTACCTAAAATGGCCATTTGCAAAATGAGAAAAAATAAAAAAAAGAACATCTGTCTGCTGTTATTCTGTCATGATTCTTGGCTCTAGTGCTGGTTTAATTCATTATTCAACCCATCTGCCAGCTCCACCCCTTTCCCAATCAGCCTCCACCAGATTACCCTGCTCACCTGACTTTATAACCAGCACTCAGACCTGTAACTAGAGCAAGAATATAACGAGCAATCAGTGAGTTTAGTCCAGCTTTCCTGTTGCATGTCTGTCTGCCTGATTCCAACCTGATTTCTGGCCCCTGATTCTCTGAGCCTGTCTGAACCCTTTTGGACCTGTCATAGTGTGTTTTTTGGATTGCTGACCTGTTTTTTGTGCCCTGACTTTGCTCCCTGATCCTCCCATGGTTGTCATTTGTTCACCTGGCTCTGGCTCTGACTCTGACCCCGCTCATGGATTCCCCTCTGGATTGTCTCTGGATCTAGGATCACCTGGCTGTGAGATATGAAAGATTAAAAAGAACGTTATAGACAAGCATAGTAAGACTGTAATCTACCTTACTAAGGCTCAATGTTGGTTTTTCCACATAAAATGTCTTAAAAAAAAACTTAATGGTGATATTTCTTTGGGTAGGATTTAAACAGAATTATATTGATGCCAATTCCATTATTCCCCCCACTGGATAATCTGGTGTTTACTGTTAGCAGGACCCTTTTAACTTTCTGCTTCTGAATTCTCAGTCATAGCTGACTGATCCTGCTCAGGTCTCCCTGTTATTACCATAGGTAATGCATTACCTTTCCCAGGGTTAGAAAGTGGGAACACGTCCCCTGAACATTTGGTTGTCAAAGATCCAATCAGACATTTCTCTTCCACATTATAAAAGAAGAGCTTTCAATTGTCATAGTTTAAGTAAACATCAACTGTTTTTAGTCTCGACTGGACAAGAAAAGATATCTGTGGTTCAGTGTTAAATTGAACACTGTGCTCTTGATCAGGACAAGAAAAAAGGAACCGGAAACCATTTGATATAGTTAGACACAAATATTGATCCACCAGGACTTCTTAGGTTGCATTGATGTTCTTACTAAGGAAACCTCCCAGAAGAGAAACCACGAGATCCTCTGACTGCTGTGAAGCAGGTAAATCTGTCTAAATCTGGAAACTCAGCTTTATTATCTATAAATATAGAATTGGTTTAAATTAGCAGATTGCCTGTGTCCACCAGCTGAACATTCTCTGTTAACAATAAGAAATTAGATCATTTGCAATATAATCATAAAAAAAAAAGTAAAACAGGGATAATACTAAATAAAAGTTAATTTACCATAGTGTTTGGAAGCCTCTGATAGAGCTGTTGGTAACACAACTAGAGGAGAAAACATTATATAAATGTAATACTTGTTATAATATGTATATGTATTACAAAGGCTATCTCTGGCAGCTTGCAAGCTTTATAATCTACCTGAACTCAGATATTTTTGATTATTTAGCTTTAAAGGAATATAGAGGTCAAAGGTCACTGCTTGTGCCTTATAAATGGTTTGTGATTATAATTGCTGATTTAAGGACTTTGTGTTTAACACACATGTACCATTGTTTTACTATATTTCCCAATAAAAGAGACCATCAATATTTGTTTCTGTTTGCCATCCTTCGTTGTATCTAAAATTCAAGATCAGTCAACAAAATACCAATGTTTTTAATAGCTGTTAGGATATATTTATATGTTGATTCTGCAACATTTTTCAGAATGAGGCTTAGAATAGGAATATGAATTTTTGATTTTGTTAGATGTTTTACAGAATCTATCAGGCAATAATACACAAACCACTATGTGGATCCCAACTGACAGAATAATACTAGAGTAATCACAGTATAAAAGCCCAATCTTATCCTTACAGTAGGGCAGAATGTGATATTCAATGATCACACATAAGTGACATGTTATGCATTAACTATATATTTAATACCCACCCCAATGGAGTGGTTAATATATTATTTAATCAAACAACTTATTGACTGTCATATATTGTTCTATGAACACATGCCCAGCTGGCTGTGTTTAAAACAACCAATAAAAGGGTGAATTGAGCTCAAATCATGGTCAAAGAGTTAATTCTGCACGCATATGGAATAAATTCACAACTTCCATTAAAACTTGAAAGTAATTAAACTCCAAGTTAAGGGACTATACTAGTGAAACTCAATTAATTCAATGAAAATGATTGAAAACATCTTTAAAACGATAGTGATATAAATTTTTGGCAAAGGGGTATATGTTTGAGAACCAAAGTTTGTCTTGAAGAGTTTGAATTGAGGTCAAATTAGTTTATAAAATAATACAGAACTATAGGATTGTGGTCAAGCTAATTTATAATAGAAATCCAAGGAGGTAAAACATTATTTGGTAAAATACAGTAAGGTTGTATTAAGGAGGGGTTGGTCTAAGATCTATGCTCTTTTTTAAAGTAAATACTAGTAATGTCTGAAGAAAAACAAAGCTAGACGAGGAAATTAAAAATGTTCAGGGATTTCATTAAGTTATGAAGTTTTAAAAAGAGTAAAAGAAACAACAAAGCATATGTTTAGCACAGTTTGTATCAATGGGAACAATGCAATAAGGACGAACTCATGCAAAGATGTGTGTTGTTGGATGTTCTACCACTTAGCTGGATGAAGGACTAATAGATTATAATTTGGATTTTTTTTCTCCTGAAAAACAACTCATAGGGGATATCCCAGCTGCAGAGCATTAAACTCAATGTTTTTATGTCTGAGCGAGACTATGACTCAACATTTTACTTATTTCCTAGAATTTAAACCAACTTAGATATTTTCTATAACAACAATCTAGACTGGTTCTTTTTAAGCATCTATTTTGCTTAAAGAACAACATAAAAAAGACAGTTTCATTGTCTTTTCAAGAATCAAGTTCTCAAGCTGCCCAACAGGCTGTGGTTTTTTATTAAGTATATAAAGATGATGGGAGTATTTTTATCAAGACTGAGGCAAAGTGACGACAAACATGGTCATGTTGACTATATCATTAAAGCAGGCAATTGTTTCTTTGGCAGTTTTGAGGAGGTGCAAAGCCCTGCTGGAAATTATACCAGCATATCAAAATGTGTCATCAGAGTGAAGCAGGAGGTGCTAGAAGTTTCCTGGTAGATGGTTGTTCTGGCTTTGGACTTGATAAAACAACAGCAGCAGATTAAAAGACTCCACAAACATCACAAATTAAAAACTTCACAATGGACTTCCTCTTGCAAATTGAACCATTTGTCTTTCCACACTTCCACTACTCTGAGATCTCTCTAACTAAAAATGTAAACTTTTATCTCTGAAGACATCGGACCACTTCCCTGGTTTATAGTGAAGGAGTTTGCATCCCACTCTATGTGAAATCTCCTTTGAGGGGTTTAGTTTTTAGTCCTTCATAATCTTTTTCTTCCTACTCATCCTTTTAGAAATTTGCTTGGATAAAGAACTCCAGAGATCTAAACTCTCTCATAGAGGGTGAATAAGGCCATCTAAACACTCTCATAGAGGGTGAATGAAGCCATCTGCTGGACGCCTGTCAAATCAGCAGCATATCCAGTATCAGTTACATAACCACACCCTTCCCTTAAAAACATTTTAGTTTATGCTCCGACTTTCTGAGAACCTCATAAAAACTATAACACATAACCCTTGAAATAGATCACTTGGTTAAGAACCTCTTTCTTTTTTGGAGACTTTCATCGCTTTGCAGATTTTTTATGCTCCTGCATAATGACCCATCTACACATGAAAAATTGTCACAAAATAAATTCATACTTTTTAATAAATAAAGAAAACATACCAAGATTTTTCCATATGTCTGTTTCGTCATTTTCACAATGCAAAATTCACTTTACAATCCAGTTTAGGAAAACACAACAAAATGTCATACACTTTAATAAGTACAGGTAGTATTTACAGTTTTTATACAAAAAGAAACACTGCCAGGTTTGCTTTCACAACCTCTTACTTTTATAGATCAGGAACTATTTGCAGAGTTCTTACATAAAGT